TTGTAAATGTCCTTGAGGTACCTTTTGTGTCCCATAGGTATTACGCAATAGGGTTATTGTAGAAAAAGCTGTCTGGTTAATTACTCTTAACTAGAAGAATTTTTGCATAGTCTACAGATCTGCAATGACAAGAAACACCTGAACATTTTCTGCAGGGCTAAATACAGGAGAATTAGGTTTGTGTTCCCTAAGTACCTCGCTCACTAGCTCTAAATTGACAAACTGCCTATCATTTTTTCTTTGTTTTTTTAATCTACTGGTAGATACCGTAGCGCAGCCTTTCTCAACCAGGGCGCTGTGGCACACTGGTATGCTTTCTGGCTTTCTCAAGGGTGCCTCAAAATGTTGTGGTAGTGAGACTCTGATAGTGAAGGGGAAAAAAGACTGATGTGAGGGGGGCTCCTGATGTAAAGGGGATACTCTTGTGAAAGGGGAAGACTCTGATATGAAATACAGGCTTCTGATGCAAAGGTTGACTCTGATGTAAATGGAGAAAGCTTCAATTGAAATGGGCACTTTGATGCGAAGGGGTAAAACCCACTTATTTGTGTGTTCTTGCATCGGGTACACCTTAAAATCTATCACATTTTTGAATGGGGTGCCTTGAGATGTTGCATACTTTTAAAGGGTGCTTTGACCAAAAAAAGGTTGAGAAACTCTGTTGTAGAGTTATTCAGGTTCCTTTTGTGAATCTATGTCAAGGTTACTTTTAAAATGTATGTAAACTCTAACAATTAACTTTTCAAACTCCCTTTTTATCTGTCATCAATACAACTTAAAACAGGAAGTGTGTTACTGGCAGGATCTCCGGGGTGACAATAAAAGGATAAAACCTGAAAACTAATGCAGCCATAATTTCTAAGGACTGGTAATCTGCAATATATGACATGTTCTTGGATTTACATACACTTTAAGGCCTTATTATCACTTGCAATTGGGGCAGTCTCACAAATGGCTCCTTTAGACTCATGTGATCAGATGTGGGCAGAAAAAGTTATACAAAGCAATGACTGCTGACAGTGCCTGTTCACATGTTATTGGACATGCAGCGATTACCTGCACAGCCGATCACCTACGGTGATCACTGCATGTCTGATTACATATGAGTGGCTGATGTTGCTGTCAGCTGTCATTTCTTTGTATAACACTGCCCATCCATAGATGTTTGCATTAGTCTCACAGAGCAATTTGTCAGATAGCCCCAATCCAAATCATGTATGGGGCCTAAGAAGGTCTCGGATACTCTTTTGTAAGCTCTGTTCTCAGTTTAGTCATTGTTGTATGTGTACCATTGTTTGTTTCCACCTTAAAACTATTAACTTGTAGGCAGGGGCTTAAGGCAGACCTTCAGTCCACTAAAATACTTTACCTTCCTGAACTCCCCACCCCCTGTACAGACCCTTTGGTTTACTTTTTTTCTTTTGGCCCTGGTCCCTGCCTCCATTTCCACCTCAGTAAGAATGACGTGTCCCTGCTCCCACAGCCTCCTGGGATATCCTCGTCATATATCCCAGGAGGCTGTAGAAGCAGGAACAAACAGTGGACCTGTTGCACATCATCAGGGGCTGTCTGCAGAACCCAGAAAAGGCAGCCAGCTACCAATGACTGAAGAGGACTAAGATGGCAGCATGGGACCTGGACTGTGGAGGTGGAGCTGTGGATCGCAGCAGGACAATGCTGAACTTGTTGTGCAAGTGAGTATGTGAATTGAAGACTGCTCTTCATAAAAAGCTGAGGGGGTTAAGTTCTTTAATTAGACATCCTTTGCTAGCTAGTGTGGATGAATGCTAAATGTTTAGTGAAAGTTTATTTACTGCTGATGTATATTCTGTCTGTGGCTAGTCCTGGATGGAGATTATTGCCCACCCATTGAAGCCTGCCCCTTGCTTCTTCTCAGCATAACGCTGGTGTAAGCTAGCAAAGCTACTACAAGTCTTCGCCCCCTGCCCTCAGCGATCCTGGAAGCAAAACTGAATAGTTGTCACATGATTTCTAAATAAAAGTGAAAGAAAAAGGTATTTGGCGTTATAATTTATTATAAAGGGATTATTATTTCTAATGATGAGCTATACTGCAGTGGTAATTAGAAACTGTCAGCATTTACATACACTTTAAGAAAAAAGTAACCAGTCACAGCTCCCATATTTCAATTTTGAAGGGTTCCATTGAAGGGAAATCTGGGAGTCAATGCTTGAACTCCAAGGCTGGATTCACAGTGGTATGTGTGCATTGCAGTATGCAGGGTATCATGTAAACGGGACCTTATTGTTTCCCTTTCAAAACAAAGAGAACTGAAGCATTAAAATATGAACCAGCCACAAGTTCATGCAGCAAAATATAAGTTTTGGTGTGTGAAAATGTACAAGTGTAAATAGGTCCCTAATGTATCATCACAGTGCATTACTGGTCAGCACTTCTGCCTTGCAGCACTGGGGGGTCCCCGGTTCAAATCCTGGTCAAGACACTATATGCAAGGAGTTTACATGTTCTCACTGTGCTTGTGTGGGTTTCCTCAGGCTTCTTCGGCTTCCTCCCACATTCTAAAGACATGCTGGAAGGTTAAGTGGCTGCTGTATAAATTGGGTCTTGTGTGCATGTGCAATAGGGAACTTCAATTGTTAGCTACTTGAAGGCAGGGACTGATGTGAATGTTTAATATGTAAAGCATTGTGTTAATTGTTGGCCCTATATAAATATCAATAATAAATACATGTAAATGGTATTGTATGTGTAGTGTGTATTCAGTGGAGCCCATACTCTTCCTTGCTTGTTCTCAGTGTTAAAAAGTAATTGGATCATTATTCACCGCTATATCATATAATTGTACTTCTGCCACCATTATTGTGAATAGGACTGTATAGTATTTTTAATTGATACATATTAATTTAAATTATATCCTCTTAACATCTTTTTGGTCTCAAATCAGGTTTTTTGATTCACCAGTATTTGGTATTCTTTTTATATATTGATTTATATATTTATATATTTTATAGCTCTTTAAATTATTATTTTATTGTATTTTTATAGCCTTTAATGAAAAAACTCAATGGCTCTGTAATAAAGTCATTACCAGATCCTATGTTGGAATACATTTATATCTGGACTTTTATTTCCCATTCTGGTGCTTCAATCTCAGATTTATTGGATCAGTATGACAGCCAGGCAGGAAGAATTTTTAGCAATGTCAGCCTCCATCTTCACTCAGAACAAGAGCTGCACCGGGCAGCAAATGTCAGTGAAACTCCAAGACTATACAACAGATACTGCCACTGTGCTAAAGTCAGAACATTTACACATTTTAAAGAGAAATTTTACATAGCCAATTTCTTGTCTCCCAAAACAGATACTTTCAAAAGGAGAACTATGGGGTTAAGGCTTTTCCCCATAGTTCAACTTAGGGTAACGGGAGGACACAAACTAGCGTCCTCCCGTCACCCTAGGCTCAGTATACCGCGAGCTGTAGCTTGCCGTATACTGAGACGCCGCAGTATACTGCAAGCTGCTGCTCGCGGTATACTGAGACGTCACAGCTGAAGCGGATCCCGACAATTATGCCGGGATCCACCCAGCTGCGTGACTGACAGCTGGCCCTGCCTATCTAGAGGCAGAGCCAGCTGTACCCGCCCCCTCCCCGTCCGTTCCGCCAGTCAGCGCTGGCGGATCGGAGCGGGGAGGGGGGAATCCAGCCCCTCCCCTGTCACAGCAGAGAGCCGTAACAGGATCGAGAGGTGAGCGAACGTCGGTATGTGTTTGCTCACCTCCCGATCTACTGAGCCGACCTGTGACAGTCTCATTGTCACAGGTGGGCTAGAACTATGAGGTGAGTGAAAACCACTCACCTCATAGTTCTCCTTTAAGGCATGCCAACTGACAAGGTTGCCAGTGTTCTTTTTTCAGCTCTCAGTTGAACTTTCATGCCCTCAAATGGCTGGTGTTATAGCTGATGTGCAGCACCATGGCAACTGGAAACCAAATAGAGGTTAAGATGGCACCTTCCTGGCTGTTAAGGCTTGGTGGTTGTAGTTCTGCTTTGAAGCCCATCTCCCGAATATAAAACAAAACTAAATGCCCTTTTAACATACCTAAACCTGCAGTTGCCTGACTCTAAGTTCCAACCCTTCTCTGTTTACAAATGGTGGGAATGAGTGAAGGCATATATGCATACTTTACATCTAACTATACTGAGCACATAGTTACATAGTTATATAGTACTTGAGGTTGAATAATGACACAGGTCCATCAAGTGCAACCTATAGCGTTTATGCATGTGCACACAAATGTTTTTTTTGGCTAAAAATAGAAGCATGTAAGAAGCTGATCATTTTGGGGTATTTTTTGGACTCAGTTCCACTCGAAAGCCAGGCTCACTCCCTTAATCAACCATGCTTCCTCACTTGTGGCCCCTGTGACAGCACAGGGCAATTTTCATCTTTTCTTCTTCTCTGGGCTTGGTAGTCCTTACTGATGCGGAAAGTGATATGGTAACATCAGTGCCACTCTTTGCAAAATATGCTGTTCGTTGATGCTGAACATCAACAAACCCGGAAGACTAAGGACATCTTTGGCCAAAAAGGGACACTGCAGAGCACAGCTCTGGATTAATGATTAGTATTTTTTACAGGGGACATTTATTCAAAACAAAAGCTTAGGCCCAAGTTGGGCTTTAAGGTAAACCCTTCTAGAACAAGTGTGTTCACTGAAATTCACTTATGCTTGCCTTTAAGTTAAACATTTACAACATTAGCTGAAGATGTTTCCTTTTTTAATGCTGGTACTTAGAAATGAGGGCTAGCAGAATGATACAATGACAAAGGAGCTTTGTCAGATTTGTTCCAGAATAGACACATTTTCTCAGAACTACCTAACAATTATCATTCCAAATTGTCAAATCTCAGATACCGTAAAATAGAAATGTTTATCCCAATGAATGCTTTCTCTATTGTTTATTTGGATCTCCATGTTCAGAGGAGAACAGTGATTTTATTTGATCTCTCTTGCAGTTTGACTCTTCAGGGATTGGCCGCAAGGGAACACCACTTCAACAATGTAAATCTTGGCCACCCATCAGTCAATGTGCCGATTCCAATCATTTGCCAAAAGGCTTGGAAGTCAAGAAGATCTCATGAGAAGACTACAAAGCCAGTGGAATGTTTCTCAGTTCAAAGAACCTACTACAAGAAGTCGACAGGAGCCTGAAAACGATGTGAAAGTTGCAGAAAAGGTGAGCGGCACAGTAAGTAGGATGTGATGTATTTTTCTGTCAACAATTTCATTTATTTGGGAAATTCTCTTGTGTTCGTAGCTGCTGTTATTAAATGCAGCTGTGAGCAATCCAAATCCGCTCTTTTGTAACATGGTTTAAAGGGCACATAGCACTAAACTAGTTTTCTTTCTTCAAAGCTATGATAATTACATTGGGAGAGACATTTGTTAGAAAATGCAGAAGTAAACCATTTCTTTTAGTTCTCATTGCCTGAAAAAGGCTAAAATATGATTTATGGGGAACCAGTCAGTTACAAATATATGGAACATGTAGAGGTGAGGTATTGGATTCAAATTATCAGAAGATCTTTTAGATCATGACAAAGCACAAGAGAGGGAAAGAGAGCCAGGAGAGACAGCGAGGAGTGACAGCCAGGGGAGAGAGCCAGGGGAGAGAGCGAGGAGGGCACATAGCATAGAGAGTGAGGGGAGAGAGCAAGGATAGACAGCCAGAGGAGAAAGCAAGGATAGACAGCCAGGGGAGAGAGCTAGGAGAGAGGAGAGACAGCCAGGGAAGAGAGCAAGGAGAGATAGCAAGGCTTGACCACAGACATCCCTCCACCACCACAGCCAGACCATGACACCCCCACACAGTGAAATTTGCACAGTGGCTGCCACTGTCTGGCCGGCATCCCTCAATAAGCTGATCGAAGAAGCCGGTCAGTAATTCTATGTAGGAACAGAGTCAGCAGCCTTAAAGCTGCCAGCCCTGTTTGGGTATTCTGATAGTGGCCGGTGGCCACTGTTAGAATACAAAAAAAACAGCAGATAGCAGAGGAAGCAATAGCCAGCCTGCTATTGGCTATTTCAAATTGCAATAGCCAATAGCAGGCTGGCTATTGCACTTGTCCACTGCTTGCTGTTAATCAGCAGAGGAGTAGACCAGAAGGAGAACTTTTTCCTTGAGCTCCTCCTCTGCTGATTGACAGCAGGTTTAATAACCAGCCTTCTATTGGCTATTGCAATTTGAAAGAGCCAATAGCAGGCTGGCTATTGCACTGCCCACTGCTTGCTGTTTACATTTAGCTGCTGGCGCAGCTGAATGTAAACAGAATATCGGTAACTGATATCGGTGTAATATTTGTAAAGAACTTGCGCTAATGGAAGTAAAAAATAATAAAATATGTAAAAAAGTTAAAAATGGATGAAAATAAATTGGATAAAAATAAATGTTTTGGAAGGGTAAGGGAAGCTGCTGAACAAAAGGCACTCAGCCCCTAATAGGATGTGTTATTTCAAAACGTACAGCGCTAGCCGTCCTTCAGATGTGAATATAAGAACTCAGACGTTGAGATCAGGATTTAACAAGTGCTATTAAAAAATTAATAATTAATAAAACATTCAGTGAAGGGGTGTATCTCAAAATATTCAATGTGAATCGGTTGTGTGAACAAATAAAGTTCATAAAATATCAAAACAGACAATGTAAATTTATCTAATAAAATGTGATAAGCTGTGAATATATGTATCATGTGTAAGTGATTCTTGTTAATAAATAGTGAATGGACAAACAATGTGTACCACTTAAATGAATTAAAACAAAAAAATGTTTTCGATGTATTTGTGAATAGTCCAAATCTTTTGTAGTTTTTTTATATAGTCTTTAGAAATCCATAAATGTAAGACACTTCGACAGTGAAAATTCAGTGCAATAATGTGTCCAACAAAAATCCAAAAAACGAGGAAAAAATAATGAAGAAAAAAATGAAAACAAAAATAAAGAACAAAGTGTAGAAAAAATGTAGAAAAAAATGTAGAAAAAATGCAGCAAAAGTCCCCTCAAGGGAATGCACTCACCAGATCCAAAGATGTTAAACACGTTTGTTTCATCAAGGTAAGTCTGCAGCTCCGTCTTTAATTTCCACGCCCGATCAGGCTTCAGGGAAGGAAAGGTCTCCCGTTTTATCCGTGATGTTTAAACGGAATATCCTCGTATTTTAGGGGTCCCTCCGGTGGGATATCCAATCATATAATGATCAAAATAAGACATACGCTCATAGTGTAGTAAAACCCAGGTTTATTATAGTCAAACAGCATACAAGTTTAAAAAGAGCGCTAAAATATGTTTAAAAAAGCCCCGGAGGGACCCCTAAAATACGAGGATATTCCGTTTAAACATCACGGATAAAACGGGAGACCTTTCCTTCCCTGAAGCCTGATCGGGCGTGGAAATTAAAGACGGAGCTGCAGACTTACCTTGATGAAACAAACGTGTTTAACATCTTTGGATCTGGTGAGTGCATTCCCTTGAGGGGATTTTCGCTGCATTTTTTCTACATTTTTTTCTACATTTTGTTCTTTATTTTTGTCTTCATTTTTTTCTTCATTATTTTTTCCTGGTTTTTTGGATTTTCGTTGGACACATTATTGCACTGAATTTTCACTGTCGAAGTGTCTTACATTTATGGATTTCTAAAGACTATATAAAAAAACTACAAAAGATTTGGACTATTCACAAATACATCGAAAACATTTTTTTGTTTTAATTCATTTAAGTGGTACACATTGTTTGTCCATTCACTATTTATTAACAAGAATCACTTACACATGATACATATATTCACAGCTTATCACATTTTATTAGATACATTTACATTGTCTGTTTTGATATTTTATGAACTTTATTTGTTCACACAACCGATTCACATTGAATATTTTGAGATACACCCCTTCACTGAATGTTTTATTAATTATTAATTATTAATTTTTTAATAGCACTTGTTAAATCCTGATCTCAACGTCTGAGTTCTTATATTCACATCTGAAGGACGGCTAGCGCTGTACGTTTTGAAATAACTGATATCGGTGGCCTGAAAGGTGGCCAATCGGTATCAGTTCCGAAAAATCGATTTCGGTCGACCCCTACCACAGACACCACCAGCCTGACCACAAAGTTCTCTACACAAAACATACTAGTAGATATAAATATTCACTGGGTATTATGACATCAGTGAGACCAACCCTTTAGTAACAAACTAAAACCAGCATGAAAAGGGCACACAGGGGATTTTCTGGCCAATTAAGATATTGGCAGGCACCTTTCTGCTTTGAGCAGGACTTTACTTATAATGTTTTTATGACTGACAAGTTCACCTTGATAACTGGTTAATAAAATATTTTGTTAAGTTTAAAGAATGGCTCGTTCAGTCAGTGGAAATAAAAAAAAAAATACACAGAAGATGAAAATATCTCATAATTAAATCTGACACAAAAAAAAGGAAGGATGAAGCTGTCAAACCTGAAAACCAGGGGTCATTTTCAAGCCTAAACATCTCCATGACCAGATCTTTTGTGCCCTATCCCCCCCCCCCCAAATACTCAGCAGACCAAGCGGTACCCGTCAGGAAGACTCAAGACCAGACATGCTTACAGTGTTCAGTGACACTGCTCCCTTTCTCTTATTTCTCCATCCTGTTTTTGATGTGCTTCTGTCATCTATCTCCCCCTTTCCATCTATGGTCGGCCCCTGCCGCCAGCGGTTTAAGTGGTGCGCTCAGGGTGATTAGGGTGTGCCCAGGTACACCCCGTGCACACCCTATGGACTGGCACAAATAACCAAGAGCTAAATTTTTGCTGTACAGCCAGAATCGGTGATTCACCAATTTGGTACTGATTTGAAAACCAATACTACTAAAAGTTTTGGACTCTTTGTTTGAAGTTACAGATATACAACCTGCCACAGCTAACCTTTATAGCAATTTCTGTGGCTGTCATTGCTAACACTGCTTTATGACTTAGTGAGTTAAAAGTATGCAGCAAGTGAAGTAGGAATTTTAAACTTGCATGCTTTTTTCTGATCAGTTACCCACTAAGTAGTTAAGGAAGACACAGTTGAAAACTGAACTCCAGGTACAAAAACATCACTGTTGTTAAGTTATGCGCTAATTCCAAATTAATTAAAGGGTAATGCTACCTTTTAATTTTTTTTTAGCTAGGCTGATATTCTGAGTCAGGACAAAAA